ACACACAGTGAGACTGTACACAGCGCCGCTACACACACACACACACACAGGGAGACTGTACACACACAGGGAGACTGTACACTAGAAAAAACTGTACACGGTGAATCAGAGCTTTCTCGATGTAAGCTGATGACGAGAGATCAGGAGCATGAACCCTCCAGGACAGACATACCAGTAAAACTGGCCAATGAGGAATACTGGTCCAACTTGTCTGAGCTCCAGCACTATGAGTCCATTTGTTGCCAAATAATTACTGTCTATTTTGGTCTTGAATTTTCTCTCTGGGCTAATATGCCCCTTCCCTAAATCAAACCATTGGAGGTCCAAAGTGAATGAGGGTGAGAAGGTGGAGGAAGGTCGCCTTACCTGGTAGGGAGGGGTTTTCATTTTTCGGAACTGGTTGAAGTGTTTCTTGACGCTGGTGGTGATCCTTTCAAAACTTTCCTTGTTTTGCAGCCATTTACTTTTCAGCAGCTTTGAGAGGTTTGGCTGGAGAGGAAAGACAGAGATGTAGAAATGTTTGGAAATGAACCCTCCCAGCTCAGAGACAATGACGGAACCAGCAGGCCCTCCCTTAGCCAGGCAATCGGCCTCCCCGCTTCTCTCAAGAGCTATTGGCTCCTTGCACCTCCCCTGTTAATAGCCATTCCTCACCTGTGATCTTCAACCCTTGACCCTGGGCTCGATTAAATGTCGACACTTTCCAACCAGAAATGGGAGGAGGAACCAATAAGAAATAGGAGATGGAGTAGGCTATTCAGCCCATCAGGCCTGCTCTGCCATTCAAGAGGTTCATGGCTGATCCAAAATTTCTCACTCTACTTTCCTACCTTTTCCCTGTAACCCTTGATTTACCTACCTCTCGTCTCTCAACCTATCCACCTCTTCACCTATCCATCTATCTCTCCACATATCCTTCTATCTCTCCATTTATTTAATCCATCTATCTAGCCTTTAAATATACCTGCCCCCACAGCTCTCTGTGTGAAGAAGTTTCAAATACTTGCAACCCTCTGACAGAAGAAATTCATCCTTATCTCTATCTTTAATTAGCATGCCTTTATTCTGAAACTGTGTGGCATGGTGGTTCAGTGGTTAGCATTGCTGCCTCACAGCGCAAGGGACCTGGGTTCGATCCCACCCTGGGGTGACAGTCTGTGTGGAGTTTGCACATTCTCCCTGTGTCTGCGAGGGTTTCCTCCGGGTGCTCCGGTTTCCTCCCACAGTCCAAAGATGTGCAGGCTAGGTGGATTGGCCATGCTAAATTGCCCGTGGTGTTCAGGGATGTGTAGATTAGGTGGGTTTATAAGGGGATGGGTCTGGGTGGCATGCTCTGAGGTTTGGTGTGGACTTGTTGGGCCAAAGGGCCTGTTTCCACACTGTAGGGACTCTATGATTCTATGTATTCTGGTTCTAGACTCTCCCATGAGGATAAATATCCTCTCAGCATTTACCCTGTCAAACCCTTTAAGAATCCTAAATAAAAACCAAAAGAACTGTGGATGCTGTAAATCAGGAACAAAAACAGAAGTTGCTGGAAAAGCTCAGCAGGTCTGGCAGCATCTGTGAAGGAGAAAAAAGCGTTAACGTTTCGGGTCTGGTGACCCTTCCTTAGAACCACAAACTCTGGTTTCTCTCCACAGATGCTGCCAGACCTGCTGAGCTTTTCCAGCAACTTTGTTTATGTTCCTTTAAGAATCCTAAATGTTTCAACAAGATCACCTCTCATTCTTCTAAACTCCAAAGTGTAGAGTCCCAAACTGTTTAACCTTTGCTCATATGGCAATCCCTCCATACCCAGAAATCATGTAAGCGGACCTTCTCTGACCTGTCTCCAATGAAACAATGCCTTTCTTTGAAAAAGGGGAGAAAACTAGTTAGAGAAGTCCGGATGTGGTCTCACCAGGTCCTTGTTTCGGAATGATGTTCCTGTGATCAAACCGTGAGGCCACTGTCCTCCTGCAGCTACTGACCCAGATCGTAACCAAAGATTGTTACAGCTGTTGAGTTACATGGGGCTGAGATTGTGCTCAGTCCACAAGGAAAGGACAGACCTTTGAGGCTCAGATGTTGTTCTGGCCCCAACAGTAACAGTGTGTGTTGGTCCCACAATGTGTCGGTGGAAATGTGACAGTAAGTAAAGAGAAAGTGATCATTCCCGCACCTTTAATTCCTCAAACAGCTTGTCCGTTAGCAGTTTGTTGCCTCCCTTCACCACTTTGTCCAGAGAGGCCAACGCTTTCTTCGTCTCTTCTTCGCCATCGCTCGCGACTTTCTGCCTCAGGCGCTCAATGTAGTCTCTGCAGAAGCCAAAGGGAAAGTCAAGAGGCTGAACAATAAAGTGGCCGAACAATAAAGTGGCCAAGTGGGACTTCTTTATATTTCAAAAACATACTTCATTCATTTAAAAAAACAAATCTCTTTGTACATATACATTGTCACAAATGCAGTTCGGTTCTGCACGGTTGGACATCAAATAAGCAAACCAAACATCGGGTTTTGATTCTATCCAAAAAAACTAAAGACCTCTCTTTTACATACAATACTAGTATTTACAAATATTTGAGGCACCAGGAGAGTCTGATAACTGAACCCCATTTATCTTGAGCAGGAAGACCTCAGTCAGTGGTCTTTCCCCCCTGTACCTTGGCAGCAGCTGCCCCAAGGTTTAAGGCATCCCTCAGCACATAGTCCTGGACCTTGGGATGTTCCAGTCTGCAACACTCGATCGAGATCAACTCCTTGCTCTGGAAGATCAACAAGTTTCAGGCAGGTCAAAGAGCATCTGGGATAGGGATGGAGATTTTCCTCACCTAATCCCTCAGCTCGTTTCAACCCTGCAGCTGGTTCCTGGTCATTGGCTACTCAACTTACATATATTATAGAGTGACTGATTATTGGCTACTCGATTTACATA